TTGATGTCATTAGACCACACACCTTCTCATTACAGAGATGCACATCACCTAATATGCTTAATTGATAGTAGGCTTTCGAGCCTATACAGCTTGGAGTAAGACAACATGCATAAAGAGGATGATGTGGTCAAAATACTCATTTGCCTAATAATTCTGCACTCCCTGTAGTTCTTTTATCTTATTTATTGTGTTTTGCACTGCATATTACGGTGTACACTATTGTGGTTTTATTTGTCTATTCTTCTATATTTACACCCACAGAGAACAACTATTTGCACCTATATCCTTGAGTGGGGATCATACAAATTCACACGCTATCCTTGGAGTCATATCTACAGCTCCATAACATGTGAGTGCACATTTTTATCTATACCTACTCCTGCTCCATAGCCCAATATACTACACCATATACGCTCCTTTTATCTTTTTATTTCTATGAGGATACCACCCACAACCATGAGAACACAAAGAATCAACCCCGCACTTGATCCTTAGGCGAGGATATTTCGCCCAGGCTCATAAGTTGGAGCTGCATTAAAACTCCAGAAATGTGTGAGTGGCCATTTTTTTAATCTTATTTACACCAACCAAAGTTTTAAATACTACACTATTGTATCTCCCTTTTTTCCTTTTATATACCCCTATGAGGACTATTTAGGTGCTGCACCTACCTCCTGTTATTTACTGCAAAATGCCTACAGGGACAGAAAATAGACACCAGAACAATTCAATTAAGCTATAGTTGTTCTGGTGACTATAGTGTCCCTTTAATTTTATAAGATATAAGAAAGCGGTTATTCAAATTCTTAATTCTTAATATTAATTACATTTATTATACATTATACCCGCCATTCCAGGCTCTTTTTGTGGAAATTGTGCAAGTAAAATCTAAAAGCATTTAATAGCAGTTTCTATTATGCCTCTACTTTACTGACAGGTAGGAAATCTGTACTGTGAATACACATTAGAAGTACTGATATGGGCAAAGCATGTAACAAAACATATTATTCAGTCACAAGTCATATAATTGTGGCATCCAAGGTTAAAGGTTTTTTTTCGGAAAAGGTTTTGTTCCGTATTAATCCATATCAACTCTGGTGCCACGCTCAGTTCATAGTGATTATCTGCTCCCACCATGTGGACACTATAGGGAAATACATGCTATCAGTTTGCTGCTGGAATTTAAAATGTAACCATCTGACACTTTAATTCATGCACTTTATTTACTGTGAGCATGCACTCAATTTGCAAGGTGTTTTTAATTTAGTTCCAAGTAAAAATTACCCAGAAGATAATTCTGGGATGCAAAAGAGCCAAATGAAGTATAACAAAAACAAACAAAAAAATATGGTAAGTAAAGCAAGCTAACTGAAGGGTGGTCCAGATCTACATGACTGCTTGGAGCACCTTATTCATGTGAAAAATCACTGTGGACAAGGAAGTCCAGTATATTGGCATTTTAAAACCAATGGGAAGATGACCAAGAAAGCTGTACTCTAGACTTCAACTGGTGCGGCTAAGGCTCGTGCCACCCAAATGTTTGACAAGACTCATGTAGATTGCAATGAAATAAGGTCAGAAAGGAGACATCCCAAAGAAGACACCAAAGAAATTGATTGTTTGATTTACAGGGCCAAGTCTGGAATCGCTTTTGGTTTTTTAAAATCATTAGTGTTCCACCTCTGGGTCATCATATAATTTCCTTGGCTCCCCACTGGTAGGAATGGGCACATCCTAATTATCAGGCAACTGCCCACAAGTGTTCACAGTAGCAGCATCACTTTAGCCAGCACAATGGAGATCTCTTTGAAAAAATCCAAGGTGATTTGCAAAACAGGCTATAGAGAGCTTGTTCTAGAGCCTGCAGTTTTCCTAATTGTTTTGTCAAAGTGATCACCAGGATAATGGATTTCTAGATAGCGTTTTCATAAAACAACCCTGTAATAATTCAAAGGGACGATTGCAAAAAGCTGCAAATCTTGTTTTGTTTTTTTGGCGATTTATTTGTGATCGATCTGCCAAAACTTTTGACAAAATGGTTAACAGAGTGTTAAGTAAATTAGAAATGTGGTTGCTGTTTTGGAGTCAATAATATTTTTTTCCCCCTTTTCTGTGCATAATTGGAAATTTCTTAAAATTAGGTCTTAACAATATGCTATGTATCAAGATTTCTGATATCTATAGAACCAGTTGTCTTAACTGTAAACAGCAAAAGGCTGAAGTCTTTTAAAGTATTCAAACTGAAAAAAAGAATAATAGGATCAGGGAACTAAAGCTGACAAAGGCTTATACTTTACCACTGGCATTTGTCTAATTCACTAGATGCCAAACTGTAGTCAACTGAAATCGCAATTATCCAATATACAGGTGATACTCAAAAAATTCGAATATCGTGCAAAAGTTCATTTATTTCAGGAAACTAATATATGAGATAGACGCATTACATGCAAAGCAAGATAGTTCAAGCCGTGATTTGTCATAAGTGCGATGATTATGGCTTACAGCTCATGAAAACCCCAAATCCACAATCTCAGTGAATTATAAAGCCTCAAAAGGTAATTGCGAAGGTAATTGGATGTTCCCAAAGTGCTGGATCAAAGCACATTAATAGAAAGTTATGTGGAAGGGAAAAATGTGGAAGAAAAACGTGCACATGCAGCAGGAATGACTGCAGTATGGAGAGGATTGTCAGAAAAAAGGCCATTCAAATGTGTTGGGGATTTTCACAAGGAGTGGACTGAGGTTGGAGTCAATGCATCACCACCACACACAGATGGATCCTGGACATGGGCTTCAGATGTCGTATTCCTCTTGTCAAGCCGTTTCTGAACAACAAACGTCAGAAGCGTCTTACCTGGGCTCTTGAAAAACAGACCTGGTCTGTTGCTCAGTGGTCCAACGTCCTCTTTTCTGATGAGAGCAACTTTTGCATCTCATTTGGAAACCAAGCAAACTCACCTGACCTGAACCCCATAGAGAATCTATGGGGCATTGCCAAGAGAAAGATGAGAGACATAAGACCGAACAATGCAGAAGAGCTGAAGGCCGCTATTGAAGCATCCTGGTCTTCCATAACACCTCAGCAGTGCCACAGGCTGATAGCTTCTATGCCACGCCGCATTGAGGCAGTAATTGCTGCAAAAGGGGCCCAAACCAAGTACTTAGTCCATATGCATGCTTATACTTTTTCAGAGGTCTGATTTTGTTCTATGTACACTCCTTGTTTTATTGATTGCATGTAATATTCGAATTTACAGAGATTGTGGATTTGGGGTTTTCATGAGCTGTAAGTCATAATCATCACACTTATGACAAATCACGGCTTGAACTGTCTTGCTTTGCATGTAATGCGTCTATCTCATATATTAGTTTCCCCTTTTACGTTGCATTACTGAAATAAATGAACTTTTACACGATGTTCTAATTTTTCAATTATCACCTGTATGCTTTGTAACAATTAGTTGGAGATTTTCTTTCCTTCAATTACTTTTTTCCTACATTTGAAATCAAGTCCTAAGTTCACTACACCATTGTTTAGTGAAAAAAAACTCTAAAAAATCTGTTCCAGTTCTAACAGATCTTCAGGACACTTGGGAATAAGGGCAACAAGTGTAAACACAAAAAAAACTAGAGGATAGAGAGGACGTTGGGGTGTGGGGGGGCTTTATTGTCTTTGTTTGATAAGGTCTTATAGAGTACTTAAAGGATCACTAAAGGCACAGACTAATTAATCTCAATGTTTAGTAGATACAGCAATCCTTACATTGCAAGGTTAAATAAGTATAGTGGCTGTCTGAATTGCCTCTAGTGACTGTCAGTCTTGTGTCTCACAGCAAGCCTCCTATTGGAGCACAGTGCTTCCATGCATGTGCATTTAGTCCCCAATGCTACTCTTTGAGGAACATTGAACTGGACTGTTAGATGCATCAGCATCACATCCCAAGAGGCAGGACAGGGGCTGCAAGGACTGGATGTTGTCACTGGAAAAAAATAAAATAAATACTCTTTTCCCAAAAGTTTTTAGATTTAAGGTAGGGGACTGAATCTAAATAAAGAGAACACTATAGCGTTAGTAATGCAGGTTCCTTTAGCGCACCTAATCACTCACAGCCAACAAACCAAGCCATGTTTTGGATGTGTTCACTGCTGAAACAGCAGTGCTTTGCATTTGAGGCAATTAAATTGGGTCACTAAAGGATTAGTCCTGGACATTTCTTACTTTTGTCATCATTGCACCTTCCAGTCTTTATGCAATAAATAATTGATAGCATTTAGACATGAATAAGGGACAGGTCGTCCCTTAGCACTAGCTCTTAAACAGGTTACACTCTTCTCATGCATTAGACAAGTGTTTTTTGTTTTTTAAATGATCTACACTGATGCTGAATGTGTCATATGAAGGGATTTGCAAACTTATCCGTATCAGATGGTCATTTCGATCTAATCTTTGTGGAAACATTACGTCTAAAATAATATACTCATTGGTTACTACCATTCACTCTAGAGGATTCCTAATCCAGTACACCCCTATTCAACTTAATTTTTAATGTTCTTTGTCATTGTTGCTAGAACCAGGTACACGATCACCGATCATCATTACTTATGGTTAATGACTGGATGACCTAGGATATAAAAATAAAATTAGTCAAAAGGGAGCTACTGATTGGGTTAGAACGTCAGCAAACCGTTCTAGCCAATCACCAGCACCCCAGAGGCACTAACTCAAATTTAGAACCTGTATACTACCTACATTTTAACCCCTTATGGTAAGAATGTGGATGGGGGCCTCATGGCACCAAAACAACCTAATTTAGATTAAGTTGTTATGGTGACTGGGGTGCCCCTTTTAGTAACGGTTTCACTTTTGTTTTGCTCTGTAAAGTGTTGTAATCATGTATATTTATGTCCCTCCTAGGCTTTTTTATGTATATAGGACAATGAGTATAACATTGAAAACATCAGATTAGAATACTCTTACATGAGCTAAACCTTTTTTTTTCCCTTCATAATCATTTCATTCTGCCAGCTTGATGTGTCATAGTTCAGATACATATATGTTAGTATGTAATGCAACACCATAAAACAGCTTCCTCATGACAATTTATTAATGTTGCAAATAAAAAATTTTTAGATTTCTACACAGTGGGCAGCCTTGGAACAGGATATACTTTATGTTTGCACCCAGTACTCATGAATGAAGAAATCATTGTATTCAAATGAAAGAGCTTGTTTTGGATTGAACGACCCACACCTAATTTCCAAAGTATAAAAACATGAAGTTGCAATGCAAAGTGAACTGTTCCAAAATATCCGCAAATCATAGTTTTTAGTTCTGTGGTTACCCTTCCAAGGGGGTTATAGTATGTTACTTTTTTAACATAGTTTTTTTTTTTTTAAATCTCCATTGTAGGAATGCAGGTTGTTAGAGGTCTTTGTGTTTTTACTAGGCAGCTGATAGAGTGGTGTGAAGACAGTACGGCAAAATAAAACAATTCATTTCAAGTGGCTTCGACATTGGAGGAGATGATCAGTGGTTTTTGCTGCTGCGATTATCTTTTGCGCTCCATTTTAAACTTGTAAATGGCTGGGGAATTCACAGTTTCTTTCTTTACCTTCACCTTCTTTCTTTTGTCCTAGGAGAAGAAAGTAGAAATGATCATTACCAGTAAGGATTTTTTTTTTTTTTTTAAAGCACAAAATGATGAAAAAACTAAAATAGAAAACAAATAAACATGATATCCTATCTGTGGCGAAAGTAACCTCGCCACTTGTACTTGGAGGGGCCTGCTTGCCAGCCTCCTGCCAACAGACTATAGGACCTGCAGGGAAAACTGTAAAAGACTAACAAACTTGACCAACTGTTGGCACTGATTTCCCTGGAACAGTTTTGGGCATAGGACCATGTGCACAGTCGGTCAACACTATGCCTTCCAGGAAATTCCTGAACCGATCTGGGTGATTTTTATAGATATATTGCTTACCCAGATCAGGGCTACCAGGGGGATGTAACTTTTATGGGGGTTTATGTGTTTTTAAAGGTACTTTTGGGGTTTCATAAAGTTGTATGTTTTTCTGTGCTTGGAGCTAATTGGGTTAGACTAGTACAGTTCCTGATTCAATTATCTTCCAAGAGGAGAGATTCTATTGTTTGTGTATGGGAGTGTCCCACTGTATGACTGTTTTTATTGGTTTATTCACTGTGTCCCTGTGCCCAACAAGGTCCATCTGGGTGTCACCCTTGTTGGGAAACTTACATAAAAGGCCAGTATGGCACCTTTAAAATTGAGTTCATGCTTACCCTCAACATACTGTCTCATCTCATGTGTGTGTGTGGGGGGGGAGGCTGTATGTATCATGGGGATTGCTTTATTATTATACTCCAAAGGAATTATAACCACTAGCTCTTATAAGAGCTGTTCCTGCTACACTCTCTGGGAGTAGGAGAGGTCTGCCCACTGAAAGCTGGATCCTGGTCTTGGGTCCAGGGCAAGTAAAGGACAGCAAGACCCTGGCGCAGCTGCATCGCTGGAAATTGGGTCTGCAGTGCTGGAATTCCTCGGTGAGCACTAGGAGCATCGATTGGTGGAGGAACTCGATCGCAGTGCCAGGCGGTCCGTCACACTATCTTTCTAAGTCATGTTTCACAGCAAGGTGCAAAGCTTGTCCCATTCTTTCTCAAGCTATTAGTATAGACATTGCAACCATTCACAATGGGGCAAATTCTTATTGCCCTATGAAAGGTACAAGCCAAATTCTAGCTTGTGGGGTACCTCTCAAATTATATTCACTAACAAAGCTCAGTGAATACTTAATGGGGCACTATCCACTAGAAATATTTACCAGGTACAGTTGAAAAAAAAAAAAAAAAAAGAGAATAGGCTCCCCCACCCCAAAAAAAACAAACAAACACACAAACAAAAAAAAACACAACAACCTTTCATTTCCTCGCTTCCTCCTTTAATAATGCTGTAGAAGGGCACCAAGAGTTGTAAACCACAGCCAGTTTTCTGACCTATATAGCAGATGCCATTGCTACACCCTACAAAAAGAGTCTATTTCCCGATATTGCCCGATGCCAGTTTTTCTAAGTTTTTCCTTGGTCAAAAGATTTTGATATTACATCATCATACCCAACAGACTATAGATTCTTCACTATCCTCAGTCACATCACAATAAAATAAAATTAAAAATCAGCTTACAGTGGCAAAAAAAAAAACAAAAAAAAAAAAACACGTGAAACCTATGGACTGGTTGATTTTCTTCTTGGACTGGTCATAAAATCTCTCGCACAAAATTAGAAAGACACAATTTGCTTAAGCTAGCAATACACACACAATTCTAATCTTCCATGTGTTTATTGAACACATCACATGAAACATTCACAGTGCTGTGAATACTTGGATTCAATATCTAGTTGATCCATTTATATACAATTTATCCAACACCAGGCACAAGAGTGTTTAAGCTCTTTGAGAGAGTTGTGTAACCATTTCTGGCTTTATGTAATACAACGATTCTTGGGGGAGATCTTTTTTGTGATGCATGGTTTACAGCAACAGATGCTTTTTGTGAATAGAAAACTCAAAATGTTTGCCTGCTTTTTATAAGTCAAAGTAGCTCTGACCCACATTTCCAATCTCATTTCATTAACTGAACACCAGGTTTGCCAATTTCCAACTCTAATTTGCTTTTGTTAAAGTCATTAGTCTAAGGTTTCAAATACCTTTTGCAGCCTACACCATGAATGTTTGAATGATATATCCAATAATTTACAAGAACAATGGAACCATGTGTGTTATTCGTTAAAATAGATTGCGTTTGCAGATAACTAACTTAGATGATCAAACCAAAGTTTAAGACAGTATGCAATAATTTCTAAAAGGATCACGGACGATTCCTTGCCACTGTAGGTTAGCGCCCTTTTCTCTGCACAGGAAAAAAAAATGAGTTGCAATCACAGCGGAAACTTTCCAAATTGGCCAACCACAAAAAAACAGGACATTTTCCAGTGGGCAGTTGTAGCCTGAAGTCAACTGGCTGCTGTGGTGAAATATTATATTTTTAAAGAAATGTACCTGAAAGTGATGGCTAGACACAGAGCAGAGGTAGGCAGTTTCTCATCAAAATACACAGAGCTAAAAAGCCATAAGCATACATCATATCCTTGTGGTTGACACTTGTATGATGAGACAAAAAGGAAAGTACTTGCCCGTGCCGTTTGTAAGGCAAGAGTATGCAGTGTTTACACGGACCATTGAATGTGAATATAAAAAAAAAACAAAAAAAACACAAACACACACCTATAGACACATACTATCCAAAATAGGCAGGAGCACTCACTTGTTAAAAGTCCAAACTTTATTAGAACATCTTTAAAAACCGATCAACGTTTCAGCTCTGCATAGAGGACTTTCATCAGGATCTTTGATTATTTTTTTTTTAAAGATTTTCGAATACATTTTGGACTTTTAACAAGTGGGTGCTCCTGCCTATTTTGGATGGCTACATAAAACTAGCCATGGCTTGCTAGCACCCGGTCTTTAAGAGACACTTCAAGCGTGAGTGCAGGAATACTTTGAGAGATAGAGAAAATTATATATAATAAAGTCCTTTATATATATATATATATATATATTTTCCCAGAGCCAGTCATTTGTGTAGCATTAACAGACATCCCAAAACAAGTCAAGGTAAAGGATTTGAAATGTTGGATGTATTCTGTAGTCTGTATTCTGTAAACCTATGTGTGCACTCGTTCATGTTTGGAAAAAAATCTTTTTCAATTTAAGTTTTTCTTCCCACCTGTATTATCTACTATAGTGGTGCAAAATATGATAGGGCTGGTGTAAAACCTTTTCCATTGCTGCTTTTCATTGCCACCTCAGGCTCTGTTTCTTACCAGAAGATCTTTGCGTGTTTGTATTTTCTGAGAGATGACAAACAGTTTCTTCTCTCGCTCAATTCGCTGCTTCAGGATTTCATACTGTTGTTTTCTTTGTTTCCTCAGTTTCTTTTACATGGAATATAACAAAATAAAAAAAAATAAAAAAAAAAAATAAAAAAGTTACAACTTCTACTCATTACTCCCACACAAGCCAACAGATATTATTGGTTCTCTGTAGAAAATAATGATTCAAACTGCTCTAAATTCAGCAAAATAAAAATCAGTTTAAATTCACTGTAACCTATCCCACATGGGTCTTACCCCTTGATAGTTTCTTTATCTAGCATTTAGAACATAGTTCAAAAACAACAAAAATCCTGATAATCCTTAACCACTTAGTCATACGTGCCTAATTGATCACACCACATAAGGCACTCACACACTTTCTTCTAGCACTGTAAGTTAGGATGCAGGGGGTGCAAATTTCAAAATGTTGTGCATTTTGGTTCTTGCTGAGTCACTATTCAAACAAAAACTTGATCTCTTTCTTTTAACTTTACACTGGCAGCTGTTCAAAAGACTGGATTTGTTGCTTCTATATGCCCACCATACAGACTCTCATGGAACAACTGACATTATTAATGTAAGCAACACATACATGGCCCTTGCACGTGATTAATGTGGCCACCTTTAAGGAGCAAGTGTTTCAGTCCTTCAGATCCATGTTATTGCCTGTCATTTTTAAAACAGGGAGCTTGTATAAAAACCATGTCCAATATATGGGAACCATGTGCTGCTCACTAGCAAGTAGGTAACTTACTCCCCCACTCTCCTCATGTATGTAATTCAATCAATTCTCATCTATTTACATGATAATTTCTCATCCTGCTCTCCTGCCCAAACAAAACCACATCTTTCAAAGTAACCAAGAGATTATCAGTAATTCTTCTGTATCATTTCTTCAGGTTTACATTACTACCCAAACAGAATAAAAACACACCTTTAATTGTCCAGCATGAGCAGCTCCTATTATGGTCTTCTTTTTTAATGTGTCTATGGTAGGTCTATTGTACACTCTATTAACCAACTCCGGTGCGGTGTTTAGATGTGTAGCCAAGTCAAATTTCTGTACTAAAGAAAAAAATATATATATAGATTTAGTACAATGAAATAACACACTGCATTTATTACATATACATATACACACATACACACACACACACACACACACACACACACTAACCAAGAAGTTGGACAGCAAATATATTCCATTCTACAGATGACGGGACAGATTTCAGCAGTAACCAATACAGACACAATTATCGAATTATATTTTGATGCTTCCCTTTAATATAGATTTTTTTTTTTTTTTTTATTCCTCTATGAACATCATTTGATTGATGACCACGCTTGACAGTTCCCAAACACGAAAGTGACACTTTACTCAGAAACATTGAGGTTTCTATAGAACTGCAGTGTTTTGCATTGCAGGGTTAAAACTACAAGGTCACTGCACCCTGAGCACTTAATTCAGATAATGTCTGGGTGCCTTAAGTGGTCCTTTAAAATGATTATTAGCTTTTTCAACATTTTGGGGTTATTTACCAAGTAACTCAGACATGACGTGTGATCCAAAGCACATAAATGGACTTTAGCCAACCAATTCAGTGACTACACATAGCAACGGGTTGTACCAGGGCGTATTTATAAGTTTCATAGTATTTTTGTTTAAAAACAAACTTGTGTGGACATACAAGATACCATATTCCCTCATACCCTTCATATACCAGTGATCTTGCCCCCAATACTACCAAATCCAAAAATAAATCTGAATTTTATATTCAAGATAGCATTAATTTCGATTTGAGCAGATTTCAATGCCCAACAAAATTATTAGACTGCAGCCAACCCAATCCTCAATAACAGACTGCTTCAACAAGAAAATAATCAATGCACACAATGAAACATTAAATCAGATTCACAAAAATAGCAGCATCTAGCTCAGCTTCCTACCTTCTTTCTTGGTGTCACAGAAGAATGTATGTTTGTTTTTCTGACTTCCTTCAGCATCCAGGAGATGTAGCTCAGATTTCAGCCGCTCTATTTTCTGTAATTAGAAAGCATGTCCCTCAGTGATCATCTAGATTATATCCCTGCAGTTTCACTGTTCAATTCGCTGTCATTTAGGTGTTAAATCATTTTGGTTTCTGTCCAAACAGCACTAGCTGCATCTCCTTGGTGTGGCTCACACAGTCTTTAATGAAGAAAAAAAAAAAAAAAGGGATCTAAGAAGGCTATGCAAGTCACATGCACGGAGGTGAGCAGTGAGATTGCAGGGGCCTGATCTGTACACCAAAATGATTTAATTCTACTAAAGTTGTTTACTCTAATTGAACTCAAGTGTCCAGCATAGGTTGCTTGACCGTTTTTACATTTTCCAACATTTTGTGATTACCTCCATTAGTATTGCAAAACCACCAGTTTTTATTTTACTTGGTTTAAGATGGCACTTTATAAATGCCAGTAATAAATAAAATAACCATATTAGTGACCTGGGGCACAGCAAGTTTTAGTTAGATATTTACGGAAACCTCAATATATCCAGGCAAGATGATCCTAACTCCTTAGGTCAAAAAAAAATTTAAAAAGCATATAACAAAGTTTGTGTACTGGTATGTGTTTTTTGTCACACACCAAATGCAGGTATGTCACGTCTTTACAAAATATACAAAGATTCCAAAAAGTGACAGAGCGCCAGTTAAAAAACAAATAGAACAAAATATTAAATAAGAAGTTAATAAAAAGAACAAATTATATACAGAGAAGAGTTAAAAAAAAAATTCTAGTCGCCTCAACAAATGAGGGAGCAAATGAGCATTAAAAAAAAAAATTAAATAAAAAAAAAAAAGATATCCAACTATTAGTATAGTATTTAGTAAACTGGATGGCAAACAGACAACAAAGTGCATAAGTGCCCACTCATGTCAGAACCATTATACAACCTCTAGTAGTGTTAGTGTGTAGCTGTATTATCCCCACTAGTGGATATAGGTGTAGGTAAGGTCACAATGGAACAGGAAGTGAAAAGCGTAAAATCCAAATGTGCAAACGTCAGCTCTGAATGCGCATGCGTTGCAAGAGAATCAAGGAAGCGGCCTCTATTGGCTGTCAGGGAGACAGCCACTAGAGGTTGGATTAAACCACAATGTAAACATAGTTTCTCTGAAACTGCTACATTTACAGCTTCAGGGTCAAAACTAGGGGGACCTGGCACCCAGACCACTTCATTGAGCTGAAGTGGCCTGGGTGTCTATAGTGGTCCTTTAAAAGGGACTCTGTTGGCACCAAAATAACTAACTTAATGACTCTGCAGTTTCACTGCCATTTAGGAGTTAAATCACTGTAAGTGACAGCCAAAAGGAGTTGAGGCTAGGGCTACATAGACAGAAACTACAGTGATTAACTCCTAAATGGCAGAGAACTGAATGGTGAGACAGCAGGGGCTTTATCTATACACTAATACAGCTTGTTTGATGTTAAGCAGTTTTGATACCCATAGTGTCCCTTTAAATCTCAAATTTCCAAGTGTAAGGTGGCATCATCTTCACATATAGTTTACTCTCCAGCAACATATGGAAAAAGAGGTATATATAAAAAAATAAAAAAATTAAAAAAAAAAATAAAAAGGTACTCACAATTTTTAGAGCAATTGATTTGCTCTGTATTTGTAGTGCAAGTGTAACAATCCCAACCAAGGATCTGATGGTAGTATTCCAGAAAGGTGTGCGATATTCCAAGGTATATTCCTCTCTGCACCGAGTAGCAGTAGGGGCCCCTGGACTCTTAACACACACAGACATACTGTGCTAGCAAATGTGAGCTTTAATATAAAGCTCTACACTTGTGAGTGCACTTTCTATGTATTTTTTGGCACTGTATGTACCCTATATTTACAATATTGCACAACTGGATTTTACTCTGTCATTACATGTTGTGACCTAAAAGAGTGACTTTACCTATGCATATATCCACTGGTGGGGATAATGCCACCATATACCAACACTACTAGAGCAAGTATGAAACTTAGAATGTGTGAGTGGGCACTTAAGCACTTTGTAGTCTGTTATCCATCCAGTGTACCAAATACTAATACTCTCTTTTATCCACATATACACCCAATGAGGACAAAATTTAAAATAAATAAATAAAATAAAAAATTAGAAATAAATTTATTTAAGAACTCAGGCCACTAGAAGAAAATTTGGATTATACTCTGTAAATTAATTATTTATTTTTAGTGACTTATTAATTCTATGTTTTGTTCTATTAGTTTGGTTTTAACTGCTGCAACCGGTTTCTGTACTATTTGCTTATACCTTGTTGGGGAATAGAGTGTTTTCACTGCCTATGGTTTATATGCCCAAGAACTCTTAGCACTAGTCTATAATTTTTATATTTGTTTTACTATCCTTGTCTGAACATATAAATATATTAAAAAAAAAAAATGAAATTTCAAATCTACTCAAAAGTAGAGACAAAAAAAAAAACAAAAGTTGTGCCATTTTGTTAATATAAACAAGTGCATTATTCTAATGGACAATAAGCACTTCACTCAATGTAATGTGTTTGATATACCCAATATAGATTACATTGTACCATTCACCAGTGAGGTTACTAAGCATGAGGCCTGTATTTTAAACAGAATGAGCAATATTGAATGTACTTCTTTCCCCAGTTACATAATCATGTAAATGACTCACAAGAACATTACATTAATCATCAACAATATCCTTCAAAGAAGGGGGATACCACAATCCATTCCCTAAGATGACTAACCTTGGCTTCTGAAACTCTCTTCATTTCCACATACTTTAAGTCTTGTGTCCTCATCACCTTTAACTGTTCATCTGTAGTTTCTTCTGTCTGCTGTTTTATCACATGGATGCCATCCTTTACAGAAATCAACAAGCAAACATACATTCAGAACTACATTCCTTGCAAATGTGTAATAAAAAAAAAACACAGGCAAACTAAAGGTTAACTAGAAAATAGTCATGGGAGATTGAACAATTCACCTGTTTTTGTGATTCAACTCAACTCTAACAACCAAGAGTAAAGACTCCAATATATACACTACACCATATTCTTCCAATATATTGCACAGATGTACCAGCCCCCAGTTATTCAAGAATGACCCACTGAAACATGTGGCAACACAGGGTAGCACAATAATATGAATAGTGGGGTAAGCATCCCAGAGCCTGATTCTGTTAACATTTAACACTAGTGAGTATAAAAACCTGTGGTGTTTTGGGGGTTTTTGTTGGTTTTTTTTGTTTGTTTTTTTTTTTTAAACAATTTCATTGTTTTAAAGATTTTATTTGAAGTAATATCAGCAGGCAAGACACAAAACCCATACTGCTACAACGATGGTATACACATAGCATTTAATTTTCTTATGTATTACAAAATATAAAGTAAAATGCATACAAATGCCAACCCAGTCAAAAGAACTGACAAAATAGGAACCACTGTGTCTCAGTATTTTGCCCCTACTTAACGGAATTACCTTTTGTGAGTTTAACCTTTTCCCCCAGCCATCACCATAAATGTCTGTAGGGAAAAAGAGCGCTTTCTATGGAGGATCCCACAGTCTTGTGGGATTTTCAATAGACCTCAATGCAGTATTCTCACAAGTACACGAGAGAGAGTACAGAGCGGATATCAGCTCATGGCAGCTGAAGTGCCAGAAGATGAAAAGGACCAGATGAAGGACGGTGGTGCCCGACAGGAACAGGAAACCATAACACTAAACACCCAGCCATGCTCATTAAAGGAGATGATCAGTGAAGGAGTTACTAATGCAATGTGAGAGCTGGTTTCCATGGTGATAGCCACATTTTTAATACTTCTGATCACTTTGATAAATTTCTCCCGTGCTTTGAAGGAAGTCTCTCCCCAGCTCACTGAAACCTAAGTTTATAATGCACAAAACATAACTGACAATGATAAACAGCAGAAGCAATAAAAACAATATACAATGGATATATTGTACATAACGTATAGGTGAAGCTTTACTTTACATATATATCCTGCCACAGGGTAAAGCTCTTACCTGTAATACATGAGTTTACCAAGGATAACTTACCTGGAGTTTTGATGATGTCATTTTAAAATAGAATTCATCTGGATTCTTCTCGAGTGCTTTCTTACGCAAGGCATTGAGTGTATTTCTTTTCTTCCGATAGTCTCTGTTTTGAAACATTAAAAGTTTATCTTGCAACTACCTGAACTGAATCTTGAGGTTAAGCAGATCAGAGCTTCTCAATGCACTTCTGGCTCAGTTTAATAGAATCTTCATGTCAGTCTTTAAGCACCAGCAGCTGCCCTAGTTTATCTATACCTCCATTACAGCATAGCTGGGTAATTCATAATTTGTAGAATTGAGATGGCCATTGAGGAATGTTTGGAGAAGCCCTGTCCTTAAGTTAATTTAAAGGCACACTAAAGCATTAGGAATACAAACAAATTCCTAATGCTTTAGTGTTCCTGTCCTTATTTAAAAACAGTACCGTATAAAATACATTAAAAGTTTTAATTACCTTTTCCCAGTGCCGAGACTCCCCCAGTGTCCCTTACCTCTCTGCCTCCCACAACATCACAGGGGAGGCATGGCCTCTTCCAGCAATGACCAATCCAATGCTCCTTTAAAAGAGTGCATAGGCAGCAAACACTGCTTTTACAATTAATACTTTCTTATGGAGGCTTCCGCGTCACTTGATCAAGTTTTACACAGTCAGTGCCACAGAAGCACCTCTAGTTGCTGTCAAAATGACAGCCACTAGAGAAGGATTTAACCTTGCAATGTAAACATTGCAGTTTCTTAAAAACTGCAATGTTTTACATTGCAAGGCAAGAAGGACAGGAACACTGCACCAAGGCCATTTCATTGAGATGATGTTACATGGGTAACTTTAGCGATCATTTAAGGTCAATGTATATTGCATTTCTTGCTCAGAAGAAGAAAATATTCAGCAACAGACTGCTCCTTATTGAATTAAAGGGACACTACAGGCACACAGACCACTTCTTCTCATTGAAGTGGATGGATGCAGTGTGTCCTTGTCCCCTTTACTTCGGCAATGTAAAACAATTGCAGGATTAAGATTGCCTCTAGTGACTGTATAAGACAGCCAATAGAGGCTTTTCCTGGATTCTAACAGAGTTTGACTCCGTTATATGATGCTCACATCCTCATGCTCTGTATGAGGACATCCAGTGTCAGTAAAAACCCCATAGGAAATCAATGAGCCTATGCTTTCCTATGGGGATGACCTAATGCACCAGTGGTGCTTGCCAAGTATGCACGTTAGGTCCACCCGTCTGAGTTGGAAGGCGGGGGGGAGGGGGGAAGGAGTGTCATCGGCCCTGGAATCGGGTAATTGACAAAAGGATTTTTAACCCTTTGTGTGCTGGGGGGCAGATGGCACTATATTTATAGGAATGCAGATTTGTATTCCTAACACTATAGAATCTCTTTAAAGAATCTGGAAGGGTCATCTTCACACTACACTCTTGGCAATTATGAATGCCAGGAGCTCTGTCACCAGTGTACTTCAACATATGTTTGAATACAAAATGAGAGACAAATGAAGATCTACACTGTACTTGAGCATATGCATAAATACAATCGAAGGATTATGGATTGTGTAAGAATATCATGTGGTGGTTAAAACAAAAACGGAAGGTTAATAAAATGTAAACACATTTTCAAAATGTACAGTAAATTTTTTTAATCTTTATGTAAACTTATGATGAGGGACGCACTTATAGTGTGTGGATCAACTGTAATGATTTACATTTACACAGAACAAAATTAATGCATAATTGTATTTTGGATGGAATGGTGATAAACATTTGCCTCTCAAACTATTGCAGAGCAGTTTCTTGATGTGCAACCATATGGCAAGTTGATCATCATAACTACAGATATCAACAGGAGTGGGTTTATTTAATAATGAACAGGAAAAAAAAAAAAAAAAAGTCGACTCACTCAGCTCGAAGCTTATAATCTTTCTTCTTTTCCAAGATTCCCAAATTTTTTCTGAAGCCAGGCTAAAGGAGAACACAATAAATTACACTGTTTCACAAAACACACACACACAAAAAAAGCATCAGACATAGCTAACTGGTTAACAGTGAAGGAAACCTCATGGGGTGAATGTGACCTCAGCAGTTCATCTGGCGCCTGCTAGTACAATACAAGCAGAAGTAGTCAGGTAGACCATTTCCATACCAGGTAGAGACTTCATCAATCATGTCCAGGGGATAAGAGATACAGCAATTCAGCCAGCAGCCACAGTTCAACATATGAGTAGAAGTGCTAAATAAGATGATCAGTTTACGGCACATGACTTTTTGCAGAGTTCTCCCAAGCTGAGTGCGCATTTACACAGCATGGGAAAAAATTATGGATATTTGCCAGTATAAAAGCAGTTTGATACATCTGTTTAGTAAATTGCCATATTCTGACCTGAACGGTTACAGTTCAGTATCTCTGGTTTGCTCAATGACCGGAAGCTCCGAGAGTCAATTTCAACCAGGGTGATAATATTTACAATAAAATAATATCCAAACAAAAAGGTCTATGTGAAAGAATACAGCTGGGACAATGCATAAGAAATAAGCAAATTAAATAAAGTGAAATAAACCACTAGAATGATCTGGGGCTTTTAAGGTTGTTGTTTTTTTTTTCCCCCACAAGTAACTCCATATATATTTATAATGTGTGTAACATAATTATTCTGCAAGTTTGTACTGCATTTTCCAAATCTATGATACATAACAGATAAGTTAGGATATTGATACGCATTTCATGAGCCCTAGACTGCATTACAATTTTACAAAGAACAGAACAAGGCATATTACAAATGAAAGTTTCCCATAACCGGGAGAGTGTGTAATGTCTTGTTCAATAATATAGGATTTAGCTCTCATTTTCCTAGTCTGTTTCCAATCCCTAGTAAATTTACTGTGATTTTTTTTAAATGGAGGACCCAAATAAGCCAAAGATGTGTAAATCTCTGATAATATAGAGGACAAGCTAGTGTGTACACCTTGGTTGACCATGAGGACAGGTGGAAGTAACATATGGAAACTTCAAATCTATATCCATCAAACTGTAGATCGCAGGAGGTACTTGTCAGTGATACCTGTAAGTGATGGCACTTGTGAAAAATTAATCTGCACCATGACTTTCCATAGACATTATTATTATTTAAGGGAAGATGGGAGCTCCACTCATTTGGTGTGAAGTTGATTAATCGAATGAATTATACGAGATTAATGATTAACTTCTCCCTGTATGGCAGTGCTATTAAAACTCATGCTTTCTAACTGAATGGCTGCTGCTAATAAGGCTCATAGCACGCCCGGCCTCACCTGGGACCGCTCTTGGTGGTTTTTTTGCTTGGACTTCAGTGCTTTTCTGAAAGATGCAGACATGTTGGCACTGCGGTCCGGCTAACTCCCAACTACGAAATGAACAAGCGTGCAGCCAGCCTGTGCCCACACAACTTCCGCTGCTCACAGTAACACGCTACTTATGCTGAAGTGCGCAGCAAAACGGTTTCCGGGCTGACACGAACACTGCGCTGTGCAGTTCCTCCTCAGACTGATGTTCCATTCGTTCCTAGACAGTGGGTGGCTCTGCATCTGTTTGTCTAGTAGTTATTTCAAACACTATCACAGTAAAAATAAATATATGAATTTTAATGTTCCTGTTTGTGTTTAGATTAAGAGACGCTTCAAAAAATACCATCTACTTTACATGTAATCCAGCATCCCAGTTATAGCTAATGTGTTATGTCCAATGAAACATTGGGGACTTTAGACTTGTATGTGCATGGCAATCACTGTAGTGGTTATGGTGCAGGATTGTCCTGGTGCCCACTCAACATGAGCAGTAAAACTGTTTTCTAGGGTTTAACAATTTACCTGGGGTTCACCAAGGCAGCTCCCTGGGAAACTGTAAGTGCAGCATTTTGATTTGAAACCCTGCACATACAGAGATTACCCCTTAGCTGCTGGAGGTGTAGCAACAAAGTTGTGAGCTGACTGATGTCAATTCTGTGCAAAATTGGCATCTGGGGGGGGCGGGGCCGGGCGACTGGATGCCATCCACATGGGCTCCAGCAACAAAACGCATGACACAGCACCAATATAACTTAAATCTGCTCAAACAAGCAAAACCTGCCGCATCTGAAAGGGGGAAAACTCTGACTTTCACCCGGTACCTGCACGAAGTTGACCGCGGGGCGGGCGGGCAGAGAGGACTGGGTCCGGCCTACAGGCGGCCTCTGAGCACCGACCGCCATTGCAGTAAACTGGCGCAGCACAGAGCCAACCCGTTATGAGGCAAGCATTCCCGGCGTGGGGAGACCCTTGGCCCGGGGCACGGCCCCGTCTCCCCACCCTGGCCGGCGGGGGATATCCTGGACACATGGTGGCGACAGGTACCACAACGGGAGCCCCCGCGTGGACATTATGCCGACTACCTAAACTGGCAATGACAAAGAGACGGCCAGCCAGCTGTACTGGACATCAACACCGAGGAGAAATACTTTCAGCGATGAAAACACCCTGGCAGGGACAGAGAAGTCTCAAGCTGACACAGAAGCTCAGGAGGTTGGGGATCCGACACAGCTGAGCCATACTACTGAAATGGCTTCTTCTCAAAGGCACCATTGAAAGAGGAGTGGAGACACCAAAGGAGACAACTCACCGAGGGGAGACGACCTGAACGGCCGCGGTGGACCCCGGTGCCGCCAGGCCCCTGAGGGACCCCCCGCGAGGTCCCCAGAGAGCCATGTCCCTGAAGCTGAGAGCCCTGTGGGGTGGGTCTGCGCAGCCCTCCCGGCGGACCGGTGGCCGGGAGCGGCATGCACCGGTCCCAAGTGTGCAGCGGGACCGGGAGAGACAATGGGACACAATCTTCACTGGGTCCGGGTTGGTGATGGGGAGGTGCAGGGAGCGGGAGACCCGCGGACTCTAGGTGTGGGGGTCCAGCGGATCATTTCTGCCCCCGAGTGCCCACAGCATCGCGGAGGTCTCAGGTGCTGGTCTGGGACTGTCGCGGGGGGAGACTGACGGAGACTTGGCGCCCCAGGAGACGCGCCACGGCCATGCCATGGTTGGCCCTTATCGGACTAACACTACGAACAGCTCTGCTCTTACACTGTTATAGTTATTATAGTTATACTAGACGTTGTGAGGTGTACCTTTGTGCCTTAACCTGATGGGACTAGCCTAAACGGCACACGCACCTGCATACAGCAACTAAAATGTTTATTATTCGGCTCACGTGATTAGATAACGAATACGTTTAAGGGGCACATAATCTGGGCATTACTGTTAGTCAGAATACTGCAAAGCTGCACTGTGCTCTACATCAGGATACGTTAATCATATGCATGTTGTACATTTTAGACCTCATTATGCTTATATTATTTGATCGCTCTGTTACTGTCATAATTTAGCAAGGAATTACTGATAGCTTAGCACTAGACTTTACAATAATTACCTAAGCCTAAACCCCTTATAGCTATTATTGGCCTTAAATGTCAGCACATTCCTATATTAATCTGTAGCATGACCAACTGCAGGTCGGACAGCCCATGGCCTGCGTCGACCACCATTACCGAATGAGGGAATAGAGCTTGACGTGAATGATTTACAGTCAGATAACTATGCTATATAGATTTATGGTAGTGCAGAATACCAGCAACAAATCCATCATGCACTCCCCGCTTGTAAAATCTTACAGGATTATTGGCGTGCGTGTAGATAGCTTGGATTATGGCGACCGCTAAGCATACGCAACTTATCTTCTTATAATTTAACCTTTACGCCAAACTAGGCATTAACTGTTTTAATTTATCAATAATACCTAAGGGGTGCATGCCTCGGATATACATATATTAAGCAAATGAGCTGTCCCACTTTGCCTACTCACACCGTACTATGCATGATATAAATATATGCTATCCAACATCACAACTCTCACAAACTATTAGGCCAGAGGGCAAAAGTAATTCAAGTTCAACATACTGCTGTATACTTTATTTGAATATTTAGATAATGCTTCATGTTAGCAGATAATTCGTAGAATCAATACCGTTAAATACACGTAACATATGCTTATATACTTAAACTTTTTCACCCTACCAGGCACCAACTGTTTGAATTTGATCCATATTATGCTTGATAGTAAATGCCTCTGACATATGTTAACTATGATTTGCTTACCTCCCCTGCGTGGGATGACCGCTTATTGAATGAACCAATAAAATAGATTTAAAACAAAATTGGCATCTGACACCAGCATGCTGGCGCCCGAAAGCCAACTTCCTCTATGCCATACCTGTCTTGCCCTCAGTCCATCCTCCTTCAGCTAGGAGGAGTGACGTCAGCCAAAGAGGATTGGGCTGTGTTGGAAATTTGGACTCATCAATGGAACCAAGTGAGTTTTCGCATTTATTTAGTTATTTTTCTAAATTTCGGAGAGGGGGGTTCCACCAGAACAAAATTGGGGTTCCGCTGTGATTTGAACTTTAAAACTATTGATAAAATATCAATTTTTTTAAGTTCCCAATAAAGTTACTTGTATATAAATTCCACTTGGATTATCTCCATATATTCATGGTTAAAAAAAATGAAAGAGAACAAGGAGTGTGGAGCAACATATCCTTCATCTACACTTTTACAGCCAGAAACAGCTTTGAGGGGCTCTGCAAAGTGTGAGTTTGCACTTGTATTCTAAGATATAAATTATACAGCTACACTATGAGATTCCAGTATTAATCTCTTTGCAGATAAGATCAAATGTTCCTTTATTTCACCCTTAAACCACAGGAAAGAATTACACTGTGTGTTTGGGTGTCACCTGTTGTGCTTCCCACCATTCTTTTCTGTTTATATTTATTGTTGTGTCAATTTAAAGTGATTTGTTGCACTGGGTTAAGCTATATGTATTTGTAAACTAGCATTAGATCACACTCTACACTCACAATTGAATTCCAAATCCAAAATTATATATAAACACTCAAACACCAATACTACACACAAATGTACACCTGCATTTAAAATTCAACATTATATCCAAACACACTACTGCACTTAAATGCAAACATTACATACAAACACACTCCTGTATTAAAACGCTGCTCCTAAGTACTACAATCTGTTTACTATCTGTAACAATTAGTAAATATATATATATATATATATATATATACCAAAAAAACTAAATTTACCAAAAAGAAAAACACATTCTGCTAATTAAGGTTTTTTTTCTACAGCGCAGAAAATGATTTTGGATTTTCAAAATGTTGGTACACTATGTCAAAGAGTTCCACTGAAAAAAATTGAGTGGGAACCCCTGCTCTAACCTAAGCCAATATTTATGAAAACATTATTTTTTTCTTGGAGTAACCATTTAAGCATTATAGACCTTATATTTTTTAAAGGGACACTGTAGGCATCCAGACCACTTCAGCTAATTGAAGTGGTCTGGGTGCTGTGTCCCTTTTGCACTTAGTGTTGCAATGTTAAACATTGCAGTTCCAGAGAACTGCAATGTTTACATTGGAGCTCTAAGTCTGCCCCAATGGCTGTCTGCCAGACAGTCACTGGGGGCGCTTCCGGAATCCTAATGGATTTTTGGTCCGTTATCAGACGCTAGACGTCCTCACGGATCTTCAGCGTCAAGATTTTCCCCATAGGAAAGCATTGAATAATGCTTTCCTATGGGGAAGTCTAATTAAACAAACAATTTAATCCCAAAGTAAAAAAAAAAAATTATAATTATAAAGTTGCACCAAAATAGCTAGTATTGCAATTATAGTAATCTATACTATGAAAATTTTGACAAATAAAGTAATATTTGATATTAGCCACTAGGTGGTAGTATACATCTCCTTCCTGTAAAGCTATACAGATACATAGGATAACAAAATTAGTAGTAAACTGCATTACTGTAACAATACAGATATAATATTATATACACAATGTAGCAGGATGTATTCTTGATTGCATGAAACATTGTGTCAATGAGGATCTCACTTCAGGGATGTAAATGGCAGCTGTGACAGCTTGCTTGCAGATCACAATGCATCAGTATATTCAGGAGGGAAATAATGAAATGGATATATTGTAAATCCATATAACAAATGAAGAAAGTAGTGTAAAATGATAAATATTACACTCACGTTTGAAAGAGCTATATGTATCCTAGTTAATTTAATATTGATCAGCATCGGCTGTTATGGACTCAATAGTACAGGGCTGCGTTGAATAATTGGAATTTATTTTTATTTATTTTTTAAAAGGAATTGCAAAGCTTATACTAAAGTTAGAGATTATAGTAAATTATGCATTTACTAATATCAAAGAGGTTATGGTTGTCTTGGCAAAAGATAAATAATTGCTCTTAGATGCATTTAGAAGGCTTGAGAACTAGAAGCAAAAATTGTGCAAGTGGAGCTACATATGTTATTTCCAAGTGTAATTTTTGTATTGAATAATTAAAGGTTCATTAAAGTCACTTAGACCACTTCATGTGAATGAAG